GCAAATACCCCAAAAGTCAAAGATGATGCTAGGCGATCAATGAGGAAATTGTCTAAATCATAGGAACAAAATTAACATGTGACCTAATCAACAAATGAGAAAAGAAAACCTATAAGGGTCAAACATGAATTAAGGAATGAATGATTGAAATTTAGGTGTGGCACCATATTCTAACGAGAATGGTAGTCCTAAATAATCAGGGACAGGCTCCCAATAAATGCCAGTAAAGCTTAAGTCTAATAAATTAAATACACTTTTTCGTGTCATTACTAACTTAAGCGAATCTCTTTATTTTGATAGGCGCAAATTTTTTCCCCTACAATTGGCGCGGTTTGTAGAAAACGATGATCAAAGTTTATTTGAGTGCTTGGGCTATTTTATTATGTCATTGCAATAGGAATTGCGCAACAATAGAGAACGCAAGAATAGTGTACAACCCAATTCTTGTGTGAACAACATAAGTTGGTGATTATCTCGCAAACGTGTATTTCAGAAAAGGCAAAGAGAGATCAAGTGCTTTCTACCTCTCACGGTGGACGTTGGCTCACGGAGCAAGAGGGGTTATTTATTTTCACGTTGAAGGACCATAAGGTACTTGTTGAGGTTACTTGTTCCAATGGAATCAATTTTCACGCAACAAAGTCAGTCACTTTTTATTTAGGCCGCATGAGGCTAACAAAAGAAAGAGATATTCATGATGTCTTTTGACATAGAAGAAACCAATACGATCAATCATCAGAAAAGACTTATGACGTTATACCGTAGAGAATCAAGAGGGTCAAATTACTTGATAACCAATCCAAGGGGACAACCAATAACAATTGCATGAGATAGCTCAAAAAATAATCAGTGTACCACTTGATTTCTCTTATTCACGTTAAAGAATCATGGAGTGCTGGATGTGGTATTTCGTTTCTATGGAATTGGTTTTTTGAACCAAGTCAGCTACCCTTTATTTGGGTCCCATGGCCAACACCAGGTAATACAAATATTTGATACATCCTGTTTTGTCTTTCATATCAAAGAATATTTTCAAGGTTGGGGCATAATTGACTTCAATTATACATAAGATCTTGAACATAGTTGAATTATTTTCATGATTTTACAAAGAAACTAAAGAGGTTCAATTGCTTGATACCATAAAGATACTCAAGAGAGTCAATTACTCGAACAGACCCAAAGGGTCAACTAAAGAAAAATTAATGACTAAAGGAGTGTTGGGTTTTCCTTTTACTGTGTTTCAAAACATTTAATTAGTTGGGTCTATACTATTTTATTTTCTAAGCCCATGAACTCTTTTTTGTTTGTTTTGTTTTGTCTTTGCAAAGCCCATAGCCCACTTCCTTGTCTTTTTACCGTTGGAGTAGCTTACAAGAGAAGTGATCACTTTATCTTTTTGGCTAGGCAGAAACTTCGGCTCCTTGTTGTTCTCTTACATTTGTTGCTTCAAAATTCTCATCTCTCTCTTTCATTGCTAAAAATTCTCACATTCTCTTTGGGAAAATTTTGTTGTGCTTCCACAAGGAACTATATAAAAGGGTTGTTAAACACTCTTCACAACAAGTGTGTGTTGGTGGAGGTGAAGCTATAAAAATTTTGGGAGGTTGTCGTGTCGAGAACCTATCACACCGAGTCATCGACTTCAAGGGGCGCGAATCAACCTTTAAGGACAAAATTTCAGCTTGATCTATAATTTAGTGAGATCGTTCCTTTATTTATATTTCATAAAATATGATTTTAAGACAAATCATTTTTGGGTCTAATTTCTTGGGTCTTTGTTTTAAAAAATTAATTGTGCAAGAATTATTTTTTTTCCATCGTTTTATTGATTCATTAAATAAATTACACAACAAGGAAGAATCGAAGCGTGCCGCTTGATTCTTGGTAGACATGACCTACATGAAAAAAGACTAATTCTATACGAAAATTGTGAGGCATAAGAGTTCGGCTACACATGATCCCACTCGTAAGAATTGGTTTTTCCTAAAAATGCACCCGTTGATCTTAAAACATGAACCAAGAAAGAGAGAGAGAAAAGAAAAAAGGGGCATTCATGGCTGACATAGTATGCCGTAATACACACTGGCTATTGGCTTAAGAGTAGGATCATTGAGCAAGAAGTAACAACAATGGTTGCGTTGAATAAATATGGTGTATCAATTCTTGTGGTCACATGTTTCCATAGAATATAAATTCACACTGGAAGAAGCCAAATACCTTATTTGAGTACCATGGGGTCAACACCTAATGATGAAAATTCTTTTATATTATAGTTTAAACAAGAATTGAATATTTTTAAGATAAAATTATATATTGATGACTAAACTGATAAAACACACACTTTAGAGACCAAAATTATTATTTAGAGACCAAAAGTGTAATTAACCCTATATGTTATCTCTATTGACCTAACAAATTTTTAATTATAGTAATTATTGATTAGAATATTGATAAATATTTTTATTTTTTTCAATGAATTATATGTTGAAACTAAATCAAATGATTTTCAAATTAACTATTTTTATCTTTTTTCTTATAGTTAGACTAACAGATCGTTGTGAACAGACAAAATTTTTTAAATTCTATAATGTAATATGATTGATAAAAATATAATTTCAATAAACATAATATAATATTTAATTTAGATAGACATATACCTCATACTTTTTATTAGTATTTTAAATACGAAAATTATTCATGTGCAGTGTATATGGTGCATTGCTTGTAGTAAATAAAAGGAGGTAGCCACCTTAGAGGTATGTGTTTTTGTTAATGTAGAGGTCTTAAGTTGAATATCTTCCCACATTCCCTAAGGGCTAATCACCCTTGTCTTTTTAGGAATATGTTTTAATTTACCTCAAATTACGGTGGGCAGCCGCTAAATTCAAGAGAGTAATTGATGCAAGTCTAGACACCCTGTAATAAAAATAAAAGAGCCCTATGGTAAAAAATAAATAAAAATAAAAAGAGGTAGTCCAAAGGATTTTTGTAATTACAAGTTTTGGGAATGATCAAATATATACCATCTTATCTCATATGTGAAAGAATAATTTTGCAACTTGAATGATTAACGCCTAGGTCAAAATTGAGTAACCTTACCTTTACAATTGTCCCAGCTAGTTTTCATAATATTAAACATATCCCCTTAGGGATAGTGGTTTTTTACTTATCCTTGTTGTTTTGTTGAAAGAAAAAAAGAAAGGCAACTATTATGGCGACTGCTAAGGAAAAAAAAGTAGGTTCTTCTAGTAAGGGAAAAAAAAATACAGAGTTTTAAGTGGTATGAATGGTCAAGTTCAACAAATAAGTAATTGTTATATAATTGCTTATACTCACAACAATGATTCTTTTAATTATGTTTTAGACATCCAACAATAATGATATATCAAAATGTCATTTGCTCCTATCGAATACATTTAATTTAAATAACCACGTTAAGTTTACATTATCATTCAATATTTGTAGGGTTAGAGTGATTTGGCTAAAGAAATGAAAAGAATAAATACAATACGATTTTACCGATAGGGATATCGCAATAAGGTAACCTGATCCTTATACTGATGCAAAAAATTGTATTTTTTTTATAATAATATATTTTACTAAGATTTCTTTTTCTTTCTTTTTGTAAAACTAGGTTGTTGAATATTCTCCCAATTTGCGGTTACGCATATGTATTAACACAAAAACATTCATGAAAATGAGGAAGACAAAGTTCAATGCACTTTGTGGATGTTGAATCAACAAACATTAAAAATAATAGTCAACTTATATTAATTAGTGCTTTTTTTTTTCAACTTTTTAATTCATAAGTTTGATTTATGTTGGTTACATATTGATTGACGATTTTTCTCAAATTTTTTGATGGACGATTTTTTGTATTATATAATGTCTTCAAGCATGAATGATTACTTGCAATTGTTTTTATTTGTTACACAGTTCACACACGAGTATTTACTAGTCTTACTATATTATAAAACAATTAAATTAGGTGGGAGGTGGCTTGAGAAATTTTTTCTCTCATTTTTCTTTTTTCTTAGGATTTTTAATTATTTAAATTATCATTTCACCAACTATGTTCTTAGGATTAATTTTTTTTACATATTAAAATTTGATTTGAGCTTATTCAACTTTTTTTTTTTTACGTATTAAAATTCGAGTCTATTAAAAAAATTTACGCATTAAAATTCGAATCGATTTGTGCTCAACCTGAGCTGTTAGCGCCGATTAAAATTTATATTTTTTTACTTATTAAAATCAATGCCAATTAAAATTCAATTCAAATTGGTTAAAATTTATTTTTTACGTATTAAAATTTGTGTTGATTAAAATTTATATTTTTTTATTTATTAAAGTTCAAGCCAATTAAAATTTAATACAAGTTGATTAAAATTTGATTCAAGTTGATTAAAAATGAATTTTATTTGACGCGAATTAAATTTTAGTTTACCCGAATTTTAATACGTAAAAAAAAATTATAAAATAAAGAGGGTCTTACTGAAAATATGTCTATCTAGAAAGAGTGTATATGAAATTTTTCTTAAAATATATCATAGACAATTTAATAAAATTGTATTTCAACTAATGTCTTTAAGATGATGAGGGGTGTTAATAAAGATTCAAAAATTAAAAGAGGTATCTTTACTGATATAATAAATTAGAGGGGGTGTGACTGAAACTTTTGCTAAAGACAAAATGAAACTTTTCCAATTAAGAATTCAAAGATATTTTAAAGTGTAAAGTATTATTACTCATCTATAAAAATATTCAACAATTATAATTATAATAATGCTATTAGACAATTTTAGTAAATCGAAAATATTAAAAAAGAAGAAGAAGACACGTATCAACTATAGATACGTCATCTCTTCTACCTTTTCTCTACGTAGGCGAATCATAAACTCGAAACGTTCGAGTTTGACCCTTGCTAATACTCAAGCCAGCTTCTGCTCTGCTTCATCCATATAGGTTGACTGCTTAGGCAAAGAAAAAATCAGACGGAAATGGCTGAAACTGCTTTTGATAAAATATTGCGGAGTTTTAATCGCCTAATTTCTCGGTATGGATCTTTTTGTGGAGGTCCGCAACATCACAGGGATCTAAAACTCCTGAGGACCTTCGTCAACAAATTAGTTGAGAAAAACCACCAACAGAATGAAGTGAAAATTCTGGCGAACTCCATTAATGATGCGAACCAGAAAATAGCCAATGCCTTCATATCATTTCAGCGCTGTCAAACTGGCACTTACGAAACTCTCCCCAGCATCATAGAAGATGTTACGGTTATCTCAACAGTGGTGCAGAAAATTTGTATCAAATTGCCTGATATCATATGTTCTCCAAGAGCTGATACGATAGTAGTTGAGGATGAAACTGTGGTGACCTTGCAATTTGGAAGTTCATCGACAACAAGTCCCGAGGAAGAAACGGTGGTGGGCTTTGATGAGGATGCCGTGAGGATAGTGCAGCGGCTTACTGGAGGAGAGGAGTTGGAAGAGTTCTCAATTGTCGGCATGCCCGGAAGTGGTAAGACAACTCTGGCCAGAAAGGTGTACAATGATCCTTCTATTACATCTCACTTCAGTGTTCGAGCATGGATCGATGTTTCTAAAGCAGACCCACGGAGATATTCTCAATGTTTTGTTATCCTGGTTACTGACCAGATTTATAAATTGAGTGTTGAAGAGCTGTGGGAAAGGCTTGGTAGATTCTTCAATGGCCAGAGATATCTTCTTGTCATCGATGGTAAATGGGGTATGGGGTTAGGTGGCTATTTGATGAACATTCTTCCAAAAGGCAATGGAAGTAAAATTATGTTCGTTACTGAGTTGGCGGGGCAGAACCCCATTCGTCTGAAATCTTTAAATCTAGATGAAAGTTGGGTTTTGTTGCAAAAGAAGGTATTTGGGGAAGAAAGCTGCCCTCAAGAGTTATGGGATAGTGGAAAGCAAATAGCAGCAAAATGTCATGGACTACCACTCACAATAGTAGTCATAGCAGGACTTCTTGCCAAGGAAGAGAAGACCCAACATTTTTGGGAGCAAGTTGCCCAGAGTATAAGTTCGTACGTGGCTGTGATACTTGTTTTCTCCTTCAAGTTTGATTATTCTCTAGAACGTGCTTACTCCAAAGATATTGAGAAGTCTCTAGACCTTCGTTACATCAATGAAGAAATTGAAGCCACTATAAAGAAGGAGATCAGTAAGCAGAGAGACAAGAAAATGTACATCAGAATACCACAAGTTGAGATGACTACCTATGGAAGTTCGTCAACAGCGAGTACTGGCACTGTGGTGGAAATCTTGACCAGTGGGAGTTTGTCAACACACAGAATTCTGAATGCAGGACAAACGATCAGGAGGAGACCTTCAGCAGCTTGTATTTCACAATTAGATGACGAAATTGTGGTTGGCTTTGAGGAGGAAGCTGAGAACATTAAAGAGCAACTTGTAGGACGAAACAAGCTACACGTTGTGTCAATTGTGGGAATGCCTGGACTCGGTAAGACAACGCTAGCCAGAAAAGTGTACAATGATCCTTACATTGAATATTACTTCTATGTTCGGGGTTGGGCCTATGTGTCCCAAGAACATTCAATGAGGAATTTGTTACTTGACATTTTAGATTCTGCTTTTCAGCTTGGAGATGATATTTGTGAAATGAGTGATGAAAAATTAGGTGAAGAGCTATACAAATGCCTAAAGGGTAAGAGGTACCTGATCGTGTTGGACGACATATGGAATATTGGGGTCTGGCATGATTTGGGAAATCTTTTTCCAGACGACAATAATGGAAGTCGAATTATGACCACTAGTCGGATCACAAATATTACTTTGCATGCTAAATCCAACAGCACTCATTGTTTGAGTTTGTTAACTGAAGACAAAAGTTGGGAACTCTTGCAACAGAAGATATATCAGAGAGTGTATTGTCCTCCAGAACTGGTGGAAATTGGTAAGCGAATTGCAGCCAATTGTGGGGGACTACCACTTACGGTAGTTGTAATTGCTGGAATTCTCGCAAAGACAGAGCAAACACTTGACTGGTGGAACCGAGTTGCTGACAAAGTAAATTCGTACACAGTTGGAGGTCCAAATAAGTGCATGGACGCACTAGCACTAAGTTACAACCACTTGCCTCATCACTTGAAAGCGTGCTTTCTCTATTGTGGAGCATTCCCAGTTAACTATGATATCCCAGTGTGGAAGTTGGCATGGTTATGGATAGCTGAGGGATTCATTCCGCAAGTTGGGCAAAAGAGCTTGGAAGACGTAGCGCAAGATTACTTGACGGAGCTAATCGATAGAAGTCTAGTATTAGTTGCCAAAAAGAGGTCTGATGGTGGAGTTAGAGCATGCCGTCTCCATGATCTGTTGCGCGATTTTTGCTTGATAAAAGCTGATGAAGAAAATTTTCTGCTGCAGATTAATGAGTACGAACAAGTTATATCTTTTTTAGGTCTGCCAAAGAGACATCGTCGCCTGTGCATCCATTCTCATGTCTTTCATTATGTTCCTTTAGAGCTTCCTACCGCACACATCTGTTCTATCTTATGCTTTGGTCCTGAATCTGACACACTATCTAGGAAGCATATGTCACACATTTATCAGACCTTAAGTCATCTGAGGGTCCTGCATTTTTCATCCATCCCTATCATCTTCTTTTTCGAGGAATTGTTACAACTTGGTTGTTTGAAGTATTTAGCGATGCAGATTAGAGACGGGAATCTTCCGGCATCAATATCCAACCTCAGGAACCTACAAACACTTATTATATCATCAAGGATCAATATTACCATACCGGCAAGTATTTGGAGCATGGTAACATTGAGGCATCTGTTAATTACATCAGGAGAAAATGACATTGCAAAACTTTATATTCATGATTATCGCTTCTCGTTGCATAACCTCCAAACCATGTCGCAAGTATGTCTTTCTAGTTCTTGTCAAGATGTATTGGAAAGGGCTCCTAATCTTAAAAAGTTGGGATTTTGTGGACCTATGTTGTCAGAGTTAGGTTATGTGGCATTCCCGAATCTAGACTTCTTAAACCATCTTGAGACATTGAAGTTTCTAGACACAAACACTCATGTTCGCGGATCACGGAATCTGCAATGGGACAAGTTTCCTTCAAAACTTAGAAGGCTAACGTTATCAAATACTGATGTGAAGTGGGAAGATATGAAAATCCTTGGAATGTTGCCCAACCTGGAGGTTCTCAAATTAAAATTTCATGCCTGCTTGGGGGAGCATTGGAAAACAAATGATGGGGGGTTTCCTCGACTAAGATTGCTGAAAATTTTCCACTCAAATATTGTAACATGGGAAACTTCTAGTTCTCACTTTCCAAGCCTTCAGAAATTGATGCTGCAAGGATGTTCTCAACTCAAGGAAATCCCTTTGGAATTAGGGGATATAATCACACTGGAGATTATTGAGCTCATTGATTGTAGCCTCTCTGCCACAAAATCTGCGAGACAACTTGAGGAAGAGCAACGGAATAATGGAAATGATTGGTTGCGGATCCTCACCAGCGCTGCATATTGGGAGGAGCTCACCACAAATTCTTGACACTATGATGAGTATTTATTTCCCACTCATGCTGAGGTCATCTAAGTTGGTTGTACAGGTATTGTCAAGTTCATGCCTTACCTTTACAATCGCACAAGCTTCGTTCTCTTTGTTCTTCTAATGTGTTGCCTGTCAGTTAGATTTCCTGTTTACTAGGCAGAAATTGTTTTACTTACTTTTTGGAACTCGGACAGCAAACAAAGTTGGATAACGCATTAGATATATCTATAATTGCCATATAATGCACCATTGCAATTATAATAGTGGAATACCAAAATCTTCATCACAACATAGTTGTCCTTGTCTTCAGTTTTTTTTAGTAATTTTCTTGTCTTTTGGTTTTTACATTATGACACTCATTCTCTAGTGTCTTTCTTGTCCTCAACTTTATCATGTTGAAGGTACTGGGAAGAGCACATGAGCGACAATATCACAGAGTTGGGAACAGCCTCCATCCATGGAAGCATCCAATATTATCCAACTCTGCATTTAGCTCATCAATTGTCTTATTTATTTGTTGCATTGGTGGTCCTAAAACATCATAATAACAAAGGAGATCAACTGCAAGGAAATACCTAAGGAGGAGGAAAAACGAACACCATAAAGATGTTTAATAAGTTGCACCAAATTTCTAAATTCAGGGTTAGATTCGAAATATTCCTATTCTGTCCACACTTTCGTTGATATCAACTTGGACCAGTTCATGTTCCTGGTTTGATTATTGGGACCGATCTAAAAATTATGTGTAGCTATAAATGAAATTGTTTGTAGCCCTGTTTTTAGTTGTCTTTTGTCCATACGCACAGTTGTTGATACTCAGATTTGCGAAATGGGAAAAAATGTTGTTTTGAAACAATATTACTCTGTATAGGCAAAGCTTTGAACATGTTATGCCACTGGGAAAAACATGCACTGTTTGTAGTTTGACCTGGAATACTTGTTGGACTTGATGATTCTCGAGAAATGTAACTACGGTGATTAGTTTTAAAGTCATGCTAATTTATCTGTCACAAGTTATCTGGTTTCCACCGTTACTCATCAGCAGTCAAAAGAAAACTAGAACACCATATTTTTTTGGTGTAGTGACTCATAAAATGTAGTTATTTCTTAAAAGAACAATGATGTTTGCCTCTTGTACAATGCTTGACTGTGCTACAAAATATTGTATGTAGGAGTTGGAAAATTCAACTATCCATAAGACAAAACTTGTTATTCCATCACCCTCCACACCCATGGACCCCAAAGAACAAAGGAAAAATTTCTGAAGGAAAGATATTTTTTTTGTGTCTATACACTTTCGAAGTAAATAATTTCATCGCTGCAAGAGTCAGTCACAAGATTTCAAAAAATAATGCAGAAGCCATCTATATGTTGGAATGAATGATATAAATGTGAGAATGACAAATGTCACTGACAATTAATAAGTTATCACACTAGGGAAGTTCATGTACTTATATCTCATTAGCTTACTAATAGTGTATTATCTGTTCACAGCAGTTTTATATTCTTGAGAGGTAACATGCGAGGAGGGCTGTTGAAATATTTCTTACATTTTCCTCTAACAGCTCACACTTTTAAAGCAGCATGTTTTTAATAAAGGATGCTTGTGAATCGGATGAGTAATGAAAATCATGTTTGTTGAATTCGCCAGTCCCTCCAGTTCAAAAAAATTAAAAAAGTGCTCATCGAGTCCCCAAGATTTAAGTCTATCAGGATCCTTAAAACTTGTCTCATCACCAGCCATTATATCTATCAGGTTCCTCTACTAGTCACACCTTCTTGCCCAAATGTATCCTTCCCCATACTAG